CCTGTATGCTTGTAAATATGCAGACACTCCCTCTCTGTTGACTGGGACCAAACCACTTCATCAAGGCTCCAGCACCAGGCCGAGCTGAGCGAAATGCAGCCAAAACAACTATGGTCTTGACTTGGAGGCAGGAAACACAAAGTACAAAGCTGATCCCAAAGGCTGCCTGCTGGAACTGACAGGACCAGATTGATGGACGACCAATGAACACCAGTGAGCACAGGAAGCAGAGCTTCAAAGACATAAGAAGCAGGAAGCTAAGTTCTGAATTGTTGGCTCGCACCTGCAAAAGGAGAGTTGGACTTGGTATCAAACAAATTGCACACTATAATATTCCAGATTGCAGTTCCATTTTGTAATAGTAGATATATTATCCCAAACAACTACAAGCAGAAGGATGTGGAAAATAGGAAGTGATCTTACCATGGGTGTTTGACGGTAGCAAAGAAATACCACAAACACAGCTGTTGTCACCACAGCACCTGATGCAGCTACTGTAGTCAGAGTAATGCCCAATGTTTCATTAAAGGAAAGGAAGTCCAGCTGACGAGGAATGCAGGCAGTTCGTTCAACATTGGACCAGAACTCAGATGGACATCGCTCACAATGAAGAGAAGCTGGAGGAAGATGACACAAGAAAGGAAAGTCTGGGAAAAACTTAAAAGGGACAGTTGTTGATGAGGTAAAGCATTGTAGAAAGTCAGGGGCACTGCTTATCAAGGGTTTAGCTGTTACTGCACCGCTGTGTTTTAGGAAAAAATCTGATGAAGTATTTCCCTCACCAGTTGTATTGCTTATCTCCCCATCAGCACATGGGATACAGTCAAAGCAGCAGAGGGGCTCTCCTTTCCTGTTGGCCTTTCGGGTACCTGGGGGGCAGCTCTCACTGCACACTGAAACAGGCACCTAAATGAGCAAAATTAAATAGCAATAATGTTTTGAGAATAAGATCAAACATTTAAAAACAATATAAATATTGTAACTGACCCGATCAAAGTTTTTAAAAATATTTAAATCACCTGTTGTGATCCTGTGCTCCAATGAATAGCTGACTCATCAAGGTGAAGGTTAAATCCATCAACACGGCCAATCAGGACAAGTTTGAGTGCCCCATCAGGGGTTTTCTGCCAGTTGACGAGGTCATACTTTGCTGGAACGTCGCCCCCTTGAAAATATAACAGTTCACCCTGTGGTGTGGTGAAGTTCACTTTGCTCATCTGCTGCATCAGCTGAAAGTAGGTTTACAAGCAGATTAAAAGTAGAAATGCATCTCTTATGCAACATGTGCAATTAAAAAAAATCTTTTTAAAGTGGTGTAATATACATAGCCTGAATCTGTTTACCTCTATGGGTTTGATGTGTTTTGGGAGGAAGCAAGTGGAGCTGTTGTTTTCAGAATGGCTCTTGCTGTTTGGGCACGAGAGAAGGCTATGAAGGGCATGGGCTGTGGCATAAACAGCAAGGTAGACATTATAAGTCACTCTCAGCTGAGAGGTGTCAGTCAAGTGATTCTGCACGTTCTCCAGGGACTCTGTACCACTGCAGGGTGGAAGAGAAGACTTTACAAGCCACCTGTTTGCTCGAGAAGCAGACAGATTAGTGGCTTCGGGACTACAACCAAACTCCTTTTCCCAGAATTCTCTTAAGAACTTATCGTCAGGGCGATAAGATGGGTTTAAACTTTGTAGATAATTTTCAAACCCAGGTATGGATGAACTTTTAATGGCAACACCAAGAACACCACTAGCCACTTTGGAAGTGATAGGATTTTGGAGGAGATTACTACTGGTGCTCCAAGCCTCACTGGCCAGAAACTGTCTGTCAGTCACCTATTCACAGAAATAAGAAAATATAACAATTAAGTTAATAATGATTTTAAAAAGCCATACAACTTAAAAAAAAATGTCTGTGTTGCATTCACAATGCACACTTTAATTTCAGTCTCTTACATTAATCTTGGCTAGTTGCAGGAATAGTTCCCTCACGTCTGTATACCAGGAAAAGACCAGAATCACTCTGGCAGTTGAGGCCTGAATTGTGAGTGCTGCTTGTCTGGCATCACTCACAATTTTGTCTCTTTGGAGAGTTTCCACAAATGCCAAACACACCTCTTTCCCCTTAGTCTCCTCCTGAAATACCTGGTATAACGAGTTGAATAGAGAAAATGTAAAAAAAAAGAAAAGAAACAAAAAAATAAATATTCATATATGGTTTTTAAGAAGCCTTTCTTTTACATATGCCTTAACATTTATCCTACAAAAAATACCTTTACTGCCATGTGTCCATAATCGTTGTTTGCTACCACTGCCCCAATCCAAGTCCAGTTGAAGCGAATGGCAAGCTGTGCCATTGCTCTTGCTTGGTAAATGTCACTGGGCATGGTCCTGAAGAAGTTTGGATACTGAGCTCTTTCACTTAAACAGGAGCAGCTGGCTGTGTAGCTCATCTGAAAGAAAGAAAAACATACAAGCATACATATCCTGAAAACTGATTTTTTGAAATATCATACCCTTTTTAACGTCATTAGCCACTGCATTATGTTATCTACATCACTTAGACTGTGTGACACAGGTTAAAGTAAATTGGTTCATTTTGCCAAGAGGGCAGCAGAAAGGCCCCAATGCTTTCAATAGTAGGAGATATAAAGATTTAAAAAAACATTTTAATGTAAGGATTTTAATAGAACTCACTAAAGGTACAGAAAGTGGCTCCAGGACTTTTGCAAGTGTCTTGGCTGCTACAGATGAAGAACCACCAATGATAAGAGGAACGAGCTGATCACCTTTTCACATTGTGAGGTAAAATAAAAGGAACTTGTTATACTAAAGTAGAGGTTGGCTCTATTTTAAACACAATATTGCAGTTTTACTGTAATGCTGTCACCATTTTAACTGCTTCTTATAAGCAATACATTCACCAAAGCCATATTCACTACCACTACTTGTGCTGATCTCCTCTTTATTCCGAGCAGAATAGTTTGTTGGTGCTGCTGAATTACAGCTGCTGCTGTCTCCTCCAACTAGTGACAGTGCTGCCTGTGTTGCCCAAGGGTGTATGCCACAGCTATCACGAATGTCGTAGCCCAACTTCACCCCTGGAAGCAAGGTTGCACTATGGTTGATTTCATCCAGAGCAAAAACCATAGCATACATGTACTGCAATGGAAGGTTTTCCAAACTGAGACAAAAGAGACAAGCAAAGACAGACAAAAACAGTCATCACTTGAAGTGATTATTGAACTATCATCTGTAGACATAAACATTTAGTAAATAACTAAAATCATCAAAACAATTTATACAACAAATGTACTTGCAAACATAAAAAAACAATAACAAATTGTTAATTGTATAATATGGTAAATGTACAGCTTACAAAGTACACAGTTCAGTATTTTACCCAGTGCAGGATTGGTAGTATGGCAGCTGAGTAAAGTCCTGGTATGTAGCCGAAGGATTATAGCGGAGACTGAAGAGCCCACCAATTACAACATTTCCCTCCTGGAACAGACCTTGGTCGCTTGGTGAACCCCACCGAGAACACGTCAGTGTCTGAACAACCTGCAGACCAACCCTGAGCCCCAGCTGTCTGCCAACAAGCCCCACAAGCAGCAGGAAGGGGGATGGCCACAGAATAAAGAGGCAGGAGAACCAAGACATGGATGCAGCAGCTCTGGACACTTCAACTGTACACAATATACTTGGTCAAGTTCACAAAGCTTAAACAGATGAGGGATGAAATAAACAGTTCCTAAAATAGAAAAGGTCAAGTTAAGTTTATACATTCATATTTTAACATCCACATATAAAGCAAAAGAACTTTGATGACAAAATGCATACTACAACAGACACACTGACATCTCAGATGACATACCCCTCCTGCTCTGCACATGAAACTCTTGTTCAGAGTTTTATAACAGCTGTAAAGCCTGTGACTGAATAATCATAAACAGGGTGACACAGCATAATTTCACAACTCTCAAAGGTGGGGCCAAACAATAAAGAACTGCTATGCAAAACCTAAAAACTTACCTGGAGGGCAGTGATCACTTATATCTAATAGAGTTGGTGTTTCATTTTAATAAATTAACAATTACTAAAAGGTAATTAAAAAGGGGTAATATCTTTTGAATATTATTTTTTTAATGTTGAGGTAAAAGAGAAAGGAAGTTTATCCAAACCCCAAAAAACATTCAAAAAGTGATTCCAATTGAAGTTTTCAACATTATATGCAAAAATCAATGCTGGTACACGTACAAGGCCCTAGTTTGCACAGCAGTGATTACACACTCTTTTCTTGTATACTGTCCTCATAAGAGTCAAAAGGTACGGCACAATAACTGTAATGAGACTCTACCAGACCTAAGGGTTACTGTTTCAGGCCTCAGATTATGAGAAAGGAAGCAGCAGCCCATCTCATGTGCTATGATAAAGTATATAAAATATAAACAATATTTCATATACTAAATTATGTGGTGTCTGATTTATTTCTGCTCAAATAGTTACTGCTGACCTCATTACAGCAGTAATGAGTGATGAGTGATGCCTCCAGCATCAATCCCAATCCAATGATGAAATAGGTGGCTCTCTACAGCAGCAAGTAGCATGAGCCTTGCAACAGGTGAGTAATGAGGTCACAAGATAACTGTAGTTTCCAAATCAGCCCAAAGTACCCAGAGTGCAAAGGCAGGCATATTTGGCCTGCTGGAGTATGTTCCATGCATCTGGCTTATACCTGGCTCAATCATTAAAAAAAAAAAATTAGATACCACTACAGCGCAACTGAGGGGTGGCAAGGAGAGGAAAAGAGAGGTGGCAGTGTAGCAGTGGAGCTGTTTGTTTTCACTTTTGTAGATAGATTGTAGCTGGTACACTGCAATCATTTTAATTAAAATACACTTATAATGTTTATAAGCAATACTGTTATATCCTATTTAAGCCATTGTATGCAATTCACAATAGAGAAAAGCAAACAGGCTAAGAATTGCATAATCCCAGAGCAGTCGTTATTGATCCAGGAAGTGGATCCAGGAATTATCTATTTCATATCTGGAATCAGTCACTGTGTAGAATCCCTCCTCTCATAAAGGAGTATATGTGAATGTACAATTTATTCAGTGTAGAATCACAAGTAATGAAATTGGACATGATATGCGCTTGGGTTAAATAATATTAACATATCTCAAACCTCCAACTGATGGAAAGTGATGGCTTTTAATTGTTTTTCCCAAATACGTATTAATGACAATCTTTCAGAACTACCTTATTCAATCATTCAGATTGAGTGAAAGATTTGGAAGGGAAAGATGAAGTTGTATGGCTTTCTCAGTGAATTCAGTCAGTTTTTTAAAAACAGATAAAGCGTGGTATTGTTACATTGGTAAATGGTTGTACTTATACAGAGCTTTTCTAGTCTTTTGACCACTCAAAGCGCTTACACTTTATTCTATATTCATCCTCTGATGGCATAGGGTGTTATGTAAAGTGACCATCTAAATGTACTAATACTTTCCCCACGCCACTGGCCATATGGCTCGAGAGCAATGTGGAGTTCAGTGCCCCAAGACACTTCAACATGAAGACTGCAGGACTATACCATTGAGGCACAACCACCCAATAAATGTATTAAATTATATCAAGAATGCAGTTGACCAAAATCACTTTTGTGATGCACTTTTTTTTGGAGTGTTGAACATTGTTTGTTGTTATTCTCTGCAGAGTTTAGCTAAGGTCGGATTTTCTTTCTTAAGATTGATGTGAAAAATCTAACCGGAAAGAAGCTCACCTTACTTCTTATCCTCTGAGATGAGACATGTTTTGGCACAATTTAATGGTATAATACTTCCATCTGGTGGTTGTTATTCAGAACACACTCAAATCAAAATTGTCCTTGTCAGCAGTAGGCTTATACTATTTGTTATCTAAAGAGGTATATCATCAAGAAGTAGTTGAAGTAATATGTCATTGATGTGATTTACTTTGATGCTCAATTATTGAAAACATTTCGAAGAACATTTTTTTCTAAGAGCAATAATATTTAATTTAATTGTGTAAAGAGGAACATGTGACTGACATTGCTGTGAAACAAATGGGAGTTTCATGTTTTTTTAATGATGGCGATAAAAAGGCAGTGTTGAACGTTAAATTATAAAATCTGCTTAATTAAACATGTAAACAGGGACAATTTGGGGATGCCCCACAGAGTGCATATGCATTATCTCAACATACATTTATTTCTGATAGAAAACATTGGCAGTGATAGACTTGAACACAAACAATATTACAGCAAACAGTAACAGAAAAATCCAGACTCACCAGTTAAATCTAGAAAACTAATAGACGAAATCTCTTAAATTTGGACCTAACATGCACGGTTTGATTACTAACTATTATTGCATTCTATTCAGTTTGTTACTAATGATACATTTCTGTCTGATCTGTTCTTGGAATCAGGACATTACCGTAGGATTGGAAGACCAATGGACTCTCACCACAGAGAAACATCTAACTTCCAATTAAGGGTCTATGTTTACATTTAAGCCAGATCAACTATCTTGCCATTAGCTGTTTCTTTGTGTTTTTCTCTGGCCTCAAAAGAATAATGAAACATTTGGGGGCAAATATGCAAAGCAGTAAACCATAGCTGGAGGCCAAGATGGAAAATATTTCTACAGCGACAACATATTTTCCAGGAGAGCTAATATAAGCAGGAACAAAAGCTACCCATACTGCACAGAATATCAGCATGCTGAAGGTGATCAGTTTGGCCTCATTGAAGTTGTCAGGAAGATTCCGAGCGAGAAAAGCCAAGAGGAGGCAGGTGCAGGCCAGCAGGCCAATGTAGCCAAGAACCAGAGAGAAGCCCACCAGGGAACCCATGGCACACTCTAGTGTGACCTTTGATCCTTGGAAACCCAGATCACGTCGAGGCACTGGAGGACTGATGGACAACCATGTGGCACAGATAATAACCTGAAAGAAAGGACACACATTTCAGTGTTATACATCTATACTTAAAAAGTAAGTAATTTCTAATGCATATTATTTAAATTGTTATATTCATTTAATTAAGAAAATGCTACCAAACCACACCTGTATACAGGTGAAGAGAAAGACACTCCCTCTCTGTTGAACAGGACCAAACCACTTCATCAAGGTGTCAGCACCAGGCCGAGCTGAGCGGAAAACAGCAAGCACTACGAGCGTTTTTACCAGAAGGCAGGAAACACAAAGTACAAAGCTGATCCCAAAGGCTGCCTGCTGAAACCGACAGGACCAGACTGATGGACGACCAATGAACACCAGTGAGCACAGGAAGCAGAGCTTCAGGGACAGAAGAAGCAGGAAGCTGAGTTCTGAATTGTTGGCTCGTACCTAATAGAAGAGTTGAGATGTATTTGTAACAACTAAGGATGTTGAAAATACAAAGTATTCTCCATTACATGAAACTGTGATTTTACCATGGGTGTTTGGCGATTGCAAAAAAATAGAACAAACACAGCTGTTGTCACCACAACACCGGATGCAGCCACTGTTGTCAGAGTGATGCCCAATGTTTCGTTAAAGGAAAGGAAGTCCAACTGACGAGGGACGCAGGCAGTTTGCATAACATTGGACCAGAACTCAGATGGACATCGCTGACAATTTAGAGAACCTGGAAGAAAAAAAAGCTAATGAAACACAAAGAATCAAAGAAAGTTTACAACACAAGTTTGTGTCAAATTTAGGGCAGATTTCCTCACCAGTTTCATTGCTTACTTCCCCCTCAGTGCATGGGATACAGTCAAAGCAGCAGAGAGGCTCTCCTTTCCTGTTGGCCTTTCGGGTACCTGGAGGGCAGCTCTCACTGCACACTGAAAAAGGAACCTTGACAAAAAAAATAATATTCTCAATGGCACAAATGTATAAACTGACTATTAGATTCATTTCAACAGAAAATTTGAAAGTAGGCTTTAGACCACTTGTTGCTTCGTAACAACCTGACTGGATCCTGAGCTCCACTGCACAGCTGACTCATTAAGATGGAGATTAAACCCATCTACACGACCAACCAAGACAAGTTTGAGTTGCCCCTCTGGTTGTTTCTGCCAATTGACGAGGTCATACATTGCTGGAATGTCAGCACCTTGGAAGTAAAACCTTTCCCCATGTGGTGTGGTGATGTTCACTTTGTTCAATTGCTGTAACAGCTGAAAATATCAAGTGTTGAAGAAACGGTTAAAAACGTTGTGAATTATAAGGTGAATTATAAGATGGTACATTGATAGAAGTTTTCACCTCTATGTGTTTGATGTTTTTCTGAAAGGTGCATGTATGGGTATTACAGGAGAGAAGGCTATGAAGGGCATGGGCAGCAGCATAAATGGCAAGGTAGACATTATATGCCACCCTTAGCTGAGAGGTATCAGTAAAGTGATTTTCCACGTTCTCCAGGGACTCTGTTCCACTGCAGAGTGGTGGTGAAATTTTCTGAGGAGGAACGTTATCAGTTGAGGAAGCAGAAACATTTGAGAGGTAGTCAGACCTTGGAATGAGGGATGAAGAGAAATAGGAAGAAAGAGGACTGCATCCAAATTCCTTTTGCCAGAATTCTCTTAAGAAAACATCATTAGGACGACGAATTGGATGCAAACTTCTGAGATAATTTTCAAATCCAGGTATAGTTGAACTACGAATGGCCACACCAAGAACACCATTTGCTACTTTAGAGATGGTTTGATCTTGGAGAAGATCATCACTGGTACTCCAAGCCTCACTTGCCAGGAACTGTCTGTCAGTCACCTATGAATGACATTATTTTTATATTATATATATGTATATATATACATATATATATTTGTTTTTATAATAAACCTTTTCAAAAAACACATTTCCATGCTGTT